GAAAGGCCTCACCAAACTGCAGTCAAAAGTCTAGACTGGAAGGAGCATGGTATGCACTTGTTCTATCTCCCGAGATCAGACACAGCTAGAAAGGCCCAGCTGTCTCTGCAGAGCAATTGTCATTGGATAGACAATGCGAAAAGGAATCAACTTGGAACAGTGAGCCTCCAAGTATAGTCTCTAAGCAGCAGCAGCAGCAGCCCCACTGGGAGCCTAGTAAAAAAACAAATTCATGGGCCTCATCCTAGACCTACAAAAGAGAAATCCTGGGAGTGATCCCCAGACACCTGTGTTTTAATAAGGCCTCCAGGTAATTTCCATGACTAATAATGCATCTCCAACATAAGCATTGTGGAGCCAATGATGTGAAAGAGCAGGCAAACCCACAACCTGTGACACCAGCATCTGTTAATGGCCTGGGAAAAACAGCAGAAGACAATACAAGTGATTGGGTTCTTGCTACTCATACAGGAGACTAGCAGACCAGGAAGAAGCTCCTGCACCTTGCCATCACCTGAGGAATGAGCCCGTAGATGGAGAATTCGTCTCTCCCTGTTGTTCTAATTATTTCAAATAAATAATCTTTTGAAAATAATAATAAGGACTAAAAATGCAAATTCTCATGCCCAATACTAGAAACCATGAGAAAGTTAGAATCAAGGTCAAGAAACAGCATAATAAGGCAGCAAGTTGTATAAGACAGATGTAGCAATGGAAGGTGGTGGTGACAGATGAGTTCAGCAAGGGGAAATCAAGGAACAGCCCTTACACTGTGAACTTTAGAAGGCTTATTCTGGCTCCCAAAGAGCTGGTGGGTTATGAAAAGAAAAGAGTTGGGAGGATTGTCATGTTAGGCATTCAATTCCTGGGGAGGCTACACAGTCACCAAAACTAGAAGCAGTGAGTTCAAAGTTTATATAAAAGAAGAGTCATCAATTAGCCTAGGAAGATGGTGAGCCAGCCCTATGAATAATTCCAATTCCTCCCTAGTAAGCCCAATGGGCTCTGGCAATAGGGGAGGCAGCATTTCTGCAAGTGGGAATGACCTACCAGGAGATGGAGTGGGTATGGGAGGTATGAGCATCTTAAAATACATGGACAGACAGGAGGGGGCCCCAAGAAGTTAGCCAGCTCTGAAGCAGCCCTGGATGTCCCCTGAAGAACATGAGGAAGTTTGTTCTGGGTCATACATAGACCATTTCTGCCAGGCACACAACCTAGCTTGCTGCTCATGCCCTTTCTAAAGATGCTAAATCATTACAGTTCTGCAGGCACCCCTGGACACACCCAGTCAGAGACCTTCTATAGCATTGACAGGAAGTCTTCTGCAGGCAGGATACACCAGCCAAGAGCAACACTGGGATGCTCTCCTGTTTCCCTTGGATCTGCCTCCTCCTCTGCATAAGCTGTCATTTGGAGAGCTGACATGAAATCGTCTTGCTTCTCCAGTAAGCTCTTGTTCTTGTTGAACAACCCTGAGGTTATTCAACTCCCACATGACTACAGGCATAGTTACAAATACTACAAGTTCTAGAGTGAGTCTCAATTTAATCATGTATGTGATAGAAGCCTTTCGGTGTAATTGGATGGAGCCATTTGCATGATGTCCTTTCAGGATCAAATAATCCTAAAGGCAATGTAGCAACAACTCAGTTATTGTTCTATCTCCCGAGATAGGCCACACGTAGGCCCCAGCTGGTTTTGGGGCTAAAGGCAGGGACCCCTAAAGTTATGGTGAATTAAGTCGGAGCTCCAATGGGAAGAACTTAAAATGCTCTCTCAGCCTCACGGGGAAAAGAATGGGGTACAGAGAGAATCAGATGCCCTTCAAGTGATACAGGACGGGAAGCCATTTCTTTCCTAGGAATTACACCAACCCTCACATCCCAAATATCAGAGCAGATCTGTGAAGTCCTCCAGCCTTCACACTACGCCAGGGAGGCTACTTGGGTTTGACTTCCCGTGTGTACACCTAACCAGTTCCCTCAGAGCCAGACTACAGGTAACTGCAAGCTGTTTTCATCAAACAAGCATCTCTTTCTTTCAAAGAAACACGAAGAAGCAATTGCTTGTGACGTTTCATTATATTAATAGATAATATTGCTGTGCTTTCAAAGCTGTGAAGCTAATTTTGACCAAAAATCTACTCAAAAAGCATCCTCAACAGAGTATCCCCAGGAGAGGGCTCCCTCCTATGCCGCTAGCCTCCCAGAAAGTGCACCAGTGAGGGACCTCCTGGTCCCTGCCACGTCCCAGCCACGTCCCAGGTCGTCTGCCTGGAGAAGCAGCAAGGGAGTGACATCCATCAAGCCCAAATTGTTCTGCCACGTCCATGACAGCATGATCTCCACGCAGCATCTGTTCCTTCCTGTCACTGAGCACAGATGATGAACTACCAAGGACAATAACATCTAATTGCTACTTTTTAATATCTAGGGTTGGCTTTGAGGATTTCTCAATTAAAAGTTAGCACCACCACACAGCCAAGACCACATGGGTAATATGTGAAATAAGGGCAGAAGCCGGGACCTTCAACTTTTCTCTTTCTGCCACCTTTTCACCAACTTCTTCCTTGTCTCTTCCTATGCACCCTGACTCTACTCCATCCAGGGATGTTGTGACCTCAATATCACCCCATTCCGAAGTGCCAAAAGCTTACCCAATACAAGCAATGACAACAAAAGCATAGAGAAGAAGTTAATAGAACAGACTGTGAAACCAAAATGCTTGGGTTTAAATTTTGCCTCTCTACTTACTGGCCTTGTAACCTTGGGCTAGTTTCTGAAGGTCTCTATGTCTGAGGTGTCCCATATTAAAATTGCAGCTGATGGTAGTAATCATATTCACTGGTGTTGCAAGAATTGAAGGAGCTTATGTCTTTAAAGTGTGTAATGAGCACCATGTACATATATACTAAGTAAAACGCACCATGTGTTATTACTCATGAAGAACTAAGCTGGCACCCAACCTATGCCTTATGGCAGAATCGCTGCTGTGGGAGACATACCTAAGAGAAGATGGCACTCATTGGTTTTTGCCAGTCATAGGGCAAAGCGATATTTCATGTTGCTTAGAGATAGCATGTTTCCTTGAGGGTCACAGTAGCTTGGTCACAGGGATACCTGTAAAGTCTGGTCCTCTCTTTGGATCTGAATGTTCACTGACTTTTCTCTTCCAGAGCCACATCTGCTAGGACAAATGTGGCCAAGAGTTTGCAGGAGTGAGGATGAGCAGGGTATGGCAAAGAGGCACACTCATAGGGATTCTCCACTGAAGCTGGCCTCACCTCCAATCAACACACCTTGCTTTTCATAACCCCTACCTTCAAAGAGAAGCATTGAATTGAAAACTGGGCCTTAAGACAAAATGAACTTCAATAGAGCAAAATTTCTCATTTCTGGAATTTCTCTACATATAAATGTCCTACAGGCAGCAGGGCTGAAGCTTTCCCTGTATTACAGGTCAGCTAAGGCCCTCTGGTAGACTGGGATATGGTGCAAGACATGGTGGCCACCAATCATTCTCTCATGAACTCCTGGAACCAAAGTCAGTTAAACCACATGTCAGTGGAATTGTCTTGAATGGTCCAAAGAGAGGAGTAAATAAGAACGATGATAAGCACTGTGGGTGTGTAGAAATGAAATTTAAAACTTACCTTGAAGAGATGGAGAAACACAGGCCATCCTAAGAATTAGGGCAAGAGCCTGAGATCTTTCCATCATAATATGTCTTTGGAACAGCAAGACAAGCTTACCCATAGTTGAGGATAAAAATCAGGAAGCATTGAGACAATGGCGGAGGTGGGGGTGTGGGCAAAAGTGGCATCAGTTTACAAGAAACCTTTGAAAGCTCAGATGGAGAGTCTAGATTTGATGAGGCGCAGCATGAACAAGGAATTCTTTCCCATTGGCTATCTTAAAGGCTGTTAGTCCCTTCCCAGCCAGGACCTCTGGGAAAAGCTACTTCTTCATAAGATACCCCCTGCCATCTGTTCCTCATATCCTCCTACTTACCTGGCTCACATAAACTCCTGTCGAGGCCTCTCCCTTGGCCTCCTGCTGCACCCTCTGTTAGCTGCGATCCATCCTATGTTGGCTATCAGGTTCATCTCCCAAAGCTCAGTTCTCTTCAAAAGCCTTCAGCCTCTCTGTACTGCCTTTTAAACTACATCTCAACTTCTTCATGAATTCAAGGCCATCTGAGCTCCATCCTCAACTAACCTCTTCTCCAGTCCTGTTTCCTCCTGCTGTGATCAAGACAGACTAAACATAAGTGTCTTCTCATCTCCAATTGTTTAAATGGGTGGGGTCCTCTTTATGGAATGATCTCCCCAGCTACAAAATTGGGAGGAAATAAAGCATCCTGAGGCCACAAATACAGGTGCAATTTAGGTAGCCGGTGAGGCTAAGGAGGGCCTCAGGACATGTCAACAGGTTGTGCTAATAGGTGTGTGTGTGTCCAGAAAGAGGCACTGCAGCCTAGTGGCATGATTATGAGATCTGTAATCTAGAAAATTCATTGATGCCCTGTATCTGACATTTCTTAGCTGTGAGATCTTAGGTAAATTACACAATCTTACTAGGCTCTAATTTCTCCTTTCTGAAAAGTGAGACTGGGCCCAGCACAATAGCCTAGTGGCTAACTCCTCACCTTGCATGCACTGGGATGCCATATGGGTGCCGGTTCCTGTCCTGATTGCTCCACTTTCCATCCAGCTCCCTACCTATGGCTTGGGAAAGCAGTAGGGCATTGCCCAAAGCTTTGGAACCCTGCACCCGCGTAGGAGACCCAGAAGAAGCTCCTGGCTCCTGGCTTTGGATTGTAGCCACTTGGAGAGTGAGGCAATGTACAGAAGATTATCCTGTGTCTCCTTCTCTCTATAAAGATTCCTTTCCAATCAAAATAAATAACTCTTTTTTTTAAGTGAGACTGATTGAACAGCATCCTTCTCGTAGAGTTGTTGTAAGGAGTAAATGCGACGGTATTCAAAAGCACACAACGTGCTCACTTCGGCAGCACACATACTAAAATTGGAATGATACAGAGGTTAGCACGGCCTCTGCCGAAGGATGAAATGCAAATTCATGAAGTATTCTATATTAAAAAAAATGAAATACTATTCTTTGTGGCCAAATGGGCCAAACTAGAGACCATTTTGCTAAGGAAAATGAGCCAATCCCAAAAGGTCAGATATCATATGTCTGCCCTGATGTAAGATAATATGATATCAAATGTAGAAATATTGCATGTGAATCTTACTCTGTCACTTCATACTTACCTGTACCTTCTGTAAGAGGATCTTGTGGTGTAATTCATTAATCAACTAGCCATAAGAAGCTGATTGTTTGAGGGTATGGGGAGGGGTTGGGTTAGGGGAATCCCAGAGCCTATAACTGGAGGGGAGAACAGGGGGGAGGGAGGGAAATCAGGGGAAGGGGACGGGAACCCCAGTGCCAAATAAACTGTATCAAAAAACAATTAAAGGGCCCAGCGCAGTGACCTAGCAGCTAAAGTCCTCACCTTAAATGTGCCAGGATCCCATTTGGCCGCCAATTCTAATCCTGGCAGCCTCATCTCCCATCTAGCTCTGCGCTTGTGGCCTGGGAAAACAGTCAAGGAGGGGCCAAAGCTTTGGGGCCCTGCACCCGAATGGGAGACCCAAAAGAGGCTCCAGGCTCTTGGCTTTGGATCAGCTCAGCTCCAGCCATTGCGGTCACCTGGGGAGTGAACCATCAGACAGAGGATCTTCTCTCTTTCTCTCTGTCTCTCCTCTCTGTATATCTGCCTCTCCAATAAAAATAAATAAATCTTTAAAAAAAAAGAATGTTCTTATATCTTATATTGGTAAACCCTTGTTTCTCTTATGTAGATTTCTAACAGTGAAATTGCTAGGTCACAGAGTTGGTATATGTTTGTCATACATTCAAAGTAATCATGCCATTTTATATTCAAACCAGTAATGTCTGATAATTCCAATCGTTCCACATTTCTATTATGTACAAATTTTAATTAAAATAATTCCATTTACAAAGAAAGATTTTTGGGGGGCAGGAGACCAGGGAAGATTCCAGCCCTAAGAATTTCAAAATTACTTTCTCTTTCAAATATCATCTCTTCTAGAAGGAAAGGCATTTAATGGGAAGACTGTGTTTTATACACCAAAGAAATGGAAGCTTTTTTTTTTTTCACTGCTTCATTCTACTAAAAATTAAGATAGCTTGCTAATAGGCTTGCTTCTACTAGAAAAAATACAGAGATCTAAGGATCTCTAGAATAAAACCTAACTTATAAAATTCCCAGCTTAAGAAAGTGTTTTAATTTGAAATATGTCACTTAGGCCACCTTTAACCTTTCTAAGGTAAATAGCATTTGGTGAATAGAAAGCGATTGTCCCCTAAGACGAGCAGACATATATCCAGCAGGCTGCAGGACGCTTCTCACTCTGCACTGTAAGACGCTCTCACGTGGATTTTGGCAGGAGTGGACTTTTTATTGTCATTGGGAGTTTTCCTCCCCCTGACTGTTCAGAAGTTTCAGATGAAATCTTTCTGATGTTTTTAATGAAAGATGATATTTGCTTACCCATCATAGAAGATATTTCCTCGGCAGGAATGCTGTCGAACATGTTGCATTCACAACATGACACAAAGCCTAAAAATCACAGAGAGACTAATTACTAGAGGAAAATTACACCAAAAGACCTATTTCCTTATGATGAAAATGACAGCCTGGTGCCCGTTACCTGGCCTGGTTGGGCAAATAGACTAGGCCACATTGTTCTAGAGCTTTGCCGCACAAGCTGCAGTGGAGGAAAGAGGCACTTCAGTTCCGTAAGCAGCACAGTAAGAAACCAAGGTGAGCTGTCAGTTAAGTGAGTTCTAATTATAGGTATCATTTCCAGTATTTATGAAAGTGACAGACAGTAACCCAGGCCTATCTGCATCCATACATAAGGCTTCTTGAGCAAGTCCTTCTCACTTTCTGCCATCATCTGAATTACCATCTTGGTGCTTTGACACCTTGTGCTGACAGAGTCTGCCCCAGTCTGCAGGGAGGACCACCCCTCTTTGCCCAATCTGCTGGGCCTCCTCCCATAAGCTCCCCAGCACCAAAAGGGTCTCTCTCTCTCTCTCTCCCCATACTGAAAGGGGGATAGAAAGTAATCTTTTCCTCCTTAAGAATTTAAATCACTTCAAATCACCCACTTTGCCCATCACAAAAATCACCTCTTGTATGAGTCTATTGATATGAACTATTCAGAACTGGTAAATCTGTAATGACAGGAAGCAGATAACTGGCTACTAAGGGCTGGGATAGCTGAGCAGAACTAGAAGAGTTCATGGGTTCACAATTTTTTTTTTTTGAGATGAAGAATATGGTCCAAAATTTATCATGATGATCTTGGCACCTATCTATTAATACACTAAAGGTCATTAACTGTGTAGTTTAAATGGGTGAATTGTATGATAGGTGAATCAAATATCCAGTGAGGTGTTGCTCTTCCTGTGGTCTTTCTACCAATGCACAACACTTCGAGCATCCAAGAACAGGTAAGGAAGTTTAAGGGTGGGAAATGGACAAAGCCAGCGACCACTTTTGGTTCCCGTGACAGCATCCATGTAAGAACAACCTCACTAACCATATTAGAAAAGCGGGGTCCTGCTTGATATTCAATACTATTGTCCAAACCTTTTAAACATACATAAATGTCTCATGACTTCCGTTGAGCAGTTCGGAACTTCAAAGTAAGTGAAAAGTGGAGGTTATAGGTGAATCAAGGCAATTATAACACAACCTTAAAGAGATGACAGATGCATTGCCGTATGCATTCATACCATTCTGAATCATGAAATACAGTGAGCATTGCATTTGGTTTCTGAAATTATGTATAAATCTCTTGGTATTGTGTCATGTCAGAACTGGAAGGGAGTTGAACATTTTTCGTCCCATAAGATACAGAGGGATCAGTTCAATGGTTTGACTGAAGATTTTTCAAGTTCAAAGTAGTTCAGAAATGATGTGTGTTCAGTAGAAGTCAGGCTTGCAATAGGTTGCCTGATCTTCTGCCCTATCCCGAGCTCTAGCTCACAGGCAGTTCCAGGATCACGAGGGAAAAAACTGATACTCCAGTATGCTGTATTTCTAAACTGTGATGCTGGGTCAGTTATGCATGTGAAAGGCACTTATAATTTGTGACCTTTCCGATGTGTGATGGGTTTATTGAGCTTTGATTTATAACCTTTTCAGGGTGTGATGAGTTTATTGGAAGGTAATCCCACTGTAAATCAAGGAGCATCTGTAGCGATCAGCAGGATGTGCACACGGTCCCGGGGTTCAGGGCAGCCCAGAGGAGAAGGGTTGCATGAATCTGGGAAAGACAAAGGGGGCAATGGGTATTAGCAATTGTTAAGAAGAAGAGTCAGAAGATAGTGGGGATTTTAGTTGCTGATGTAAAAGCAGACATGACAAGAGGTTTCCAAATGGAAAGGAAGACTCAAGTTCACTCGGGACCATTCTCTGGGCCATCATTCATTGCAATTATCTTTTTTTTGGACTTTATCATTTTTAAAAATAATGATCATATGGTTGATCAGGGTGGGAAGGATCAAGGTTTAGGGAAAATTGGGTGAATTCATTGCTTCTAAATTTGCTATTTCTTCTTGTTGTTCCTGGGGTAAGAGAAGAAACGAATTGGAAAACCACTCACGAATTTCTGCACATCCCAGTATCCAGGGATGAGGAACCACCACCTCATATCAACCCAGAGTCTCAATGTGTACATATTCTGAGAGTTCTGTCCAAGCAGTTTAAATAGTTCTGAAATGTTCCAATTTCAGTGACCCAAAGAGGTTGTCACTCTCCCAATGTCTGTTGGCTCCATTCACCAAATTTTTTTGCTGTCCTCATTTGTTTGAGGTGTTGTCCAGTTAGTTCTGTTCTTCTGCTACAGCACCAAATGTGCTGCCTTATTCCCCTTTTACAACAGGGCCTGTGTCCACTGCTCCACCTTTTTCATTAAGTAGGGCATGTTCTTGTAGGTGAGTCCAACTCTCATCAACAGTGAAGGAGGATACCTTTTCTCCCACATCCACTCCAGCAGGTGTTCTTAGTAGAATTCTAAATGTAGGATAATCTCTCACTGCAGTTAGATGGAACCTTAGTGGGGTTTTCATTTGTATTTCCCTGATAGCTAGGGAAATTGAGCATCTTTTCATATGTCTGTTAGCTGTTTGATTTTATCTTTTGAAAAAAAGTCTGTTCATTTCCTTCACTCATTTCTTCACAGGATTGTCTGTTTTTATGTCACTGAGTTTCTGAAGCTCTTTGTAAATCCTGGATATTAGTCCGCTATCAGTTGTGTAGTGTGCAAAGATTTTCTTTCATTCTGTCAGTTGCTTCTTCACTTTTTTGATCGTCTCCTTGTTGTACAAAAGCTTGGAAATGAATTTTAAAAAAACTGTGGTATTAAAAAGAATGAAAGTCTACCATTTATAAAGCTAATATGTTAGTAAATTCCTTTTTAAAATGTTTAAAATAGGGCTAGTATTGTGCCATAGAGGATCTGGCAGCCACCTGCAACGCCAGTATCCCTTATGGGCACTGGTTCCTGTCCTGCCTGGTCTACTTCTAATCCAATGCCCTGCCAATGCACCTAGGAAAGCAGTGGAATATGGCCCAAATCCTTGGGCCCCAGAACCCATGTGGAGCACCTGAATGAATTCCCTGGCCCTGCCTTAGCTGTTTCAGCCATCTAGAGAGTAAACTGCTGCATAAAAGATGAAAGATCTCTCTCTTTCTCTTTCTCTCTCTCTTTCCCAGTCTTCCTGTCACTCTGAAACTCTGCCTTTAAAATAAATCTTTTTTAAAACAAATTAAAGATGAAAATGAGGTTTGCAACTTTGTTAAACATGAAGACTTTTTCTTATCATTATTCCATAAAGAATAAAATATGAAATGAGATACAGTGCACAACATTATATTGCGTTAAGCATCATAAGTAATCTAGGTGATTTAAAGTATTTGGAAGGATCTGTATAGATTACATGCCGATACTGCAGCATATTGCATTAAAGAACTTGAGCACCTGTGGACTCAATTACCCAT